CATCCGGTTCCAGTCGCGGTGCCTCAGCCAGTTCCACATCCGGTTCCAGTCGCGGTGCCTCAGCCAGTTCCACATCCGGTTCCAGTCGCGGTTCCTGTGACTAAACACGTGCCAATTCCCGTACCCATCGATCGAGCGGTTCCAGTTCCAGTGGATCGTCCTGTCCCCGTACCAGTCGCGGTTCCAGTTCCGAAACCATATCCGGTCCACGTGGAGAAGATAGTGCACGTTGACAGACCCGTGCCAGTACCATTCGAAAAGCCAGTCCACGTGCCGGTGGATCGACCAGTGGCTGTTCCTGTTCCAGTGCCAAAACCATATCCGGTTCCCTTCGAGAAGATAGTTCACGTGGACAGGCCTTATCCGGTCCATGTGGCGGTACCTTATCACGTTCCCAAACCTTATCCAGTTCCAGTTGCTATTCATGCTCACAAGTCGCATGGATGGCTCAAATAAAACTCCACTGGAATATTCTTGTTAGATATTGATGGTAGAACTACTAACGATTGATATTAACGATCTTGTGTAGAATTTAATGTTTTATTTTATTAAATTTTTTTATTGGATATTTGTTTATAACTCGACTTGAATTTGGATATTACAATTGAAACTTGTTTATTCAAATTATTTTGGGGACAAAGTCGGATAATTAAGTTTTAAAGAAAATTTATAATATGCAAATCTATATAATACATAGAAAAATTGTAAATATTTATAAATTGGAGTAATTTTGAAAAAAAATTACAAACCAATTATTTTGACTGCGTTAGTAGTTCTTACATGAGAAACATTATATTAAGAATATAATATATTCAAAAGAATTATCTAGGGTACTATTGTCATCATTTCAATCAGTATTTCAATATTCAGTTGATTGTTTTTTTGATTCTTTTGATACTAGTCCGCTTTAGCAATACATATTTTTACTAGTCGATTGTTAATTACATATTTAGTTAGGTATTTTTAACAAGTAAAATAATGTATTGCAAAAATGGTGCAAATATTTCATAGATAGATATTGCCAAGATTTTTTTCTATTAACAAATTTTCAATACATTTTGAAGTTGTAAAAAGGAAAGTTAATAAAATTATTTTTTAAAAAGTATTTTAATTGATATCATTGATATTTATTTATTATTTTAATATTTATTCATCGTAATCCTTTATCAATATTATTTTATCTTTATTATTACTTTAAAGTTGGTTATTATAATTTTAATTTAAAAATATTATGTATCATTTAATCCAATTTCCTTAACCGTGTATAAGTACAACTAATAATGTAAAAGTTTTCGATTCGAGCGTGTTTTATAAAGAGATATCTATAGAATGCTCATATTTAATACATTCTTCTACACTTTTACGCTCGATAGGCGTTACACTTGACACCAAAGAATAATGTAGTGTCATAAAAAACAAGTCTATGAAAACTTAAATCCTTAACACAAGAATTGTATTTTTTGTCATTCGAATCTATGAATCTAGAAAATAAATTTTTATAATTAAACTATTAAATTAAAAAAAAAATTTATAATAATCATCAAATTCTAAATCAAATAATTTTAGAGGTTTATAAAGAAAATTTTAATTTTCGAAAAAATTGATTTATAAATTTAAAAAATTTTATATAAAATTTATCAAAAATCGATCAGTTCACAAATGTAATTCAAATTACACGTTTCTCCACTTCTTGAAAAATGATTTTACACAAATTGATTTCTCGAATCAACCATCTCAATGTAATATTTTTTTACAAATTAAAGCTTAACGAACTTTCTAAATAAATCAGAACAAAATATTTCGAGAAAAAGATAGCCTAAAATTTATACTAGAAAATTTCGAAATAATTCGCACATAGATAGCGCAAAAATTCGCGATACGTGGTGACGCAGGAGTGGACGCGTGACCGGCGTCGTCATCGAGCTTCATCGAGGCACGAAACTGTCAGTTCTTTCACGCGAACACTCGAAGATCGACGATATAGGATCTAATAAACCTATTCGTTCTCCTCTCGATCGACCATCGATACTGTATCCACAATCTCGTTCATTTTAAGGTGTGCAAAAAAACTTGCGCGACAAACTCTTTTTTGTTAAAAGTTGAAGAACAAGTGATGAAATCGACGAAAGATTACAACTAGAAAAAAAAGAAAAAATTAAAAAAAATTCTTCTTTTAATTATAATAATAATTATATAATGTATAACGCAATGGAGAAATTTTGAAAAATTAGTACGAATAATTATATATAATAATATTTTAATGTAAAAGTTCTTGGAAATCATAGTAATTCGCGCTTTTTTTTTTCGAAGATATTTGAGCAAATGCATTTCAAAAAATTGATATACGATGTAACGACTCGATTTTTCCATCGAGGAGTCCATGTTATTCTGCATTCGTCGTTTGTGAGTCTGCAATCGTTTGTAACAACCGGAAGAAAGCTTCATGAAACTCTTCGTGTACCAGTCGGATGCAAGGTTTTCAGAATTTGATCAAAGTTGTCGCGTTTCGTGATCGAAAATTAAATTACGGATCTAAAAAACGAATCTTCGATTGATCGTTTCAATTTGTTGCTAGAATTTTTGAAAATAACCAGTTTTATATTTTTCAGAATTAGCAATGAGCTATATTTAGATAGATAATTGATTAAATTTATTTATTTATCTTTATTATATAAATTGAAATTTATTATTATATTGTAATTTTTTTTTCTTTTGTTAATTTATTTATCTCTTTTCAACGTTCAGAGAAGAAAGACATTGCAATTTTGTATTTTTCATTATTTTATTATATCTTTTTATCGTTATATCTTTTCTGCAATGTTTTCATTGATCTTATTATTTTATTTTTTTCTTTTCCCCCTTTTTTTATTATAATTTTTTATTTTTTTTTTAATTATATTTCCCGTTTTTTTTTTCATTGACGATGGAAAATTTTATCTTCGATAGTAATATATATATATTGTATAAATTATTCATGCTTGGAAAAAATTTTCTCATTTATATCTATAATACAATGAAAAGAAAAAAACTCAACAAGAAAAAAACGCATCATTATAGTTAATATTGTGTTATATTTTGTCTCTTCTTGTCGAATCTCTTCTTAATATATTGTTTTAAATCTACGTATCGATCGGGAAAGTGATTATATATGAATATAAAATGGATTGTTTTAGCGTGTTACTATGAAGCCGAAAAAATTGGGAATTATTGGCGGTTCGTTGCTTACTTTTGGAATTTTGATCTGTGCAATTGCTTTTCCTCCATTTCTGAAATCACAAGTGAAAAAAGTGAGTGAAAAAAATAAAGAAATTTCGTTTGATACGTCATGTTTATCGTAACCATACTTGATAAAGTACAACAATGTTACAATTTATTAATAATTACGAAATAAATTAGTTTACTTTAATGGAAATACAAATGATTAAATTTGAAATTTTAATTCATGATATTTATTTATATAATATGAAAAAATTTTCCATTGAAATATACGAATATAGATTTTATATTCAAGATATATTATATTTAAATAAGTATATTTTTTATTGTGTTCATTCAAATTAAAATAATGATTTTCCGTTTTATTTCTCGATTTTATCAAGTATAGTTACGATAAACATGACGTATCAAATTATCATGATCTAAACATTATATAGTTATATATACATCATTATTATTGCATTCAATTTTTCACTAGTTTTTAATCTGTCATTATTTTTAATCGCACTTTATTCGAAATAATTCTCATTTATTAGTATTCATTATATTCAGCATTACTTTCAATTTTATATAATTGTTTCTATACTAATCAAACTTTTTTTTATTCTTGTTTATATCTTGTTTTTATCTGAAATAAAATTTTAATCTTATTTTTTATCTAAGTTTATTATTATTATTGAATAAAGTAATAATTAATTATAATTTTTTAAAAAAAGATATTACGTTATTAACAAAAATGATTGTATCTAATTATTATCTAATTTCTATGTTTTATATTCTTGTTGTCAAATTTCATTCAATTTAATAATAAAAATTCAATATAATTTAAACTTTAAACAAAACATGGAAATATTATAACTTTTTACAATAATCGTAAATGCATAAATATAAAAAAACGATTATCTATTCGCTATTATTACATTAATCGAATATGAAAAATTACAACGAATAATGGTATCGTTATATCTAAACATATTTTTTTTACATTATATAAATATTATATATAATTGAAAGTTTATAAATTAATAGCAAATAGCCTTAAAAAATGGATCCGAGATGCGGGAATTATGGTCCAATTTCCCTATCCCTTTGGACTTTAAAATTTATCTTTTCAACGTAACGAATCCCATGGAAATTACAGCGGGAGAGAAACCAATTCTCGAGGAAGTAGGACCATTTTTTTACGAGTGAGTGATATATTATGATATTAACGATAAGATCTATGAA